TATGTTCTTATTTTATTGCGTCAAATGTTTGTCTACGATATTATTTTCCAACCCTATTATATTATTAGAAAAATCTCAGCTTAGTTGGACAATTGCCTTGCTAGAAGTTGCACGATACTCAACCTGCACGTACCGTGGTTGAATTACTTACGAAACAAACCGCTGTAATAGCGTATATCTGATCTCAACTCTGCTCATCCGATTTCATATTCTTTCAGTGGAATAATGGAGGACGACCTTGACCCTAACAAGTCAACAAAACATCTCACAACTTTGAAACGCGTCTACATGAAAGTATTACATCTGATTGAGAGAGGCTGCATTTTTGTGGGCCATGCGCTAGTCAACGACTTCTCTACGCTGAACATTCATGTTAGTTTTTTTAAAATTATGCTATATCCCCTCAAACTTTTTAATGCTTCCAACTTATTCACAACCTTGTCGGTATGAAAATTTGTTTTAATTGCTGTTGGTTCAGGTGCCGGCGAAACAGATGATTGATACCGTGGAGTTATTCCGTGTACCACAGCAACGTCTTTTCTCGTTACAGTTTCTTGCATGGCATCTACTTGGTTAGTTAATGTCATTTACTCCGCCATAGAGCGTTTGCTCTTGTAAGAACAGAATGCCTCAATTAAAACCGATTTTTAGCCATTCAAAAGATTTTTTGATGAGATTGTGGGATCCCGAATGATGCAGTATCTAAAACAGGATGACAGAATCATCCGGCAAAGTAATATAAGATTTGGTGGGCGGAATTGGGTTAGTGGAAAGTGGTGCTACTTACCATGCGCACGGTCCGTTGGTCGGTCTACGGACAACTTGAACTCGGTCCTTTCAAACCGCCTCGATTCGATGCTCTCGCCTGCGCTCTCTCGCTTTAACAGCGGCTTATGATTACTGTGATCTGACACATTCAAACTTTGCCACAATGTAATTGGCTCACCCACTCCGGAGTCCCTCCTCCCTCCAAGGCTTAGTCCTAGGGCTCTCACCTTCCTTCTTGGGATTTGGAGCCGAGCCAGGCGCCGTTCTCTAATCGTCTGCGCTCTGGCCTTTCGCGGCAGAGAACACAGGGGAGAGTTCAAGTAGTCACGTAATCAATGGAAAAATTCACAACTCGGTTAGGTGAAAGTCTATAGAGCAGAAAAAAATCGGTGTAGCGAAGCAATGTCTAGGTGTTCCCAGCATACATGACGTGAGCGGAGGCCCGCCCACAATGGGCGGAGCGTGTCCTGAAGTGCACAGCGTTTTCTACAAGTCCCCATAATTCGGTTCCGAAAAGCCTTGAAGAGGGAGAAGAAGGTGGATAGAAGTTAGAGAAGAAGGGGAGGTTGAATGCTAAAGGTGGGCGCAGCGGAGAGATAAGTCGTTAGACAGAGCAAGCACCCGAAGTAAGCGTAAATTGCGATGTTCCTGCCGTAGTCACGTACAATGTGCGTCGCATCGACGCACTTTCTAGAGTAGCAATCCTACGGATTTCAAACATAATTAGGCTACCTCTGCTCTCCAGGGTAGCAATCCAAAAATGGTGGAGTGTCGCAGTGTCGCCGCGACGCGGCGCGCAGTCCAAGGGAGGTCGTGCCGCCCCATCCTACGCGAGGCCAATCTGACATGCGTGCCATCCTCCACCTCCTACATGAACGGCGCTCAGTATAGTTGGCGAGTTTGCTCGACGCATTCTCTCCTCGTTGAGAGAGCGCAGAGAAAACGAGAAGGGAGGCGAGCACACGCTTCAGCGCGTCAATGCGTCGCGCATTGTACGTGACTACATTATAATTTACGCTTACTACGAGCGCTCACTCTGTCCAAACGGCTTAGGTCGGCGCGGCGTGCACAAAAGTGGACGAGTTTGCTGACAAATTTATGACTCGGTTCCAAAAAGCGAGAGAGGGACTGAGACGGGAAAAAGTGAATAGAGGTCAGCGAAGGAAATGAAGCTAACTGCTATTGGTGGGCGGGGCATGCACCAAAAAAGGCGGGTTATCCACAAAACATATTACTCGGTCCCAAGAGGTCTTGGAGACCGGGAAAAAGGTCAATCGAGTCTACCAACGGAAGGGAGCTCAACTGCTACTGCTGTGTGGGAATGTCCATTGCTCCTGGGGCCAATACGGGCGGAGTTGGCGTCGAAGTTATAATTCACAAGAATTTCTGAAGACCGAAAAAAGTGGTTAGAGGTCAATGACAATGGTTGACGAAGAAGAAGAGGTCAGAAGCCGTCGGTGGATGGAGCGGATAGAATCTAGCTTAGAAGTCAATATTCGTAGTGTAACGGGCCAAATTTGAGAGTTTACGCCGCACCATCCCATATCGCCGCAGAGCTGTGTTGTGCGCGCAACGCGTGCGGCGCCAACTGGTAGCTCATAAAGGAGGAAAGAGTGTTTAGAAAATGCATTGTTTGTGCGGTGAAAGCGTATTTGAACAGCACTCTAATGATTGAAATGTGGGAGTTTGAATATCGAGATAGTTTCGCCTTTTCGAACCTACCAACAAGTCAATCTGAGCTTTTTTATTATTTGTAACGCGAAACGTGTAAATGTGCACAAAAAAAGACCAACGGGACGATTTTCTGAAGAAGTGAAAATTTAAAAAAGTTGGGTACTACTTAGGAAGAAAACAATTTGTAGTCTTCCATTTGAAGAGAGACTTTTCAATTGAAAAAGTGTTCATACCAGCAAACTCTTAAACCTCAACTTCATAACAATAAAGTTATTATGTTTATAATAGAAACAAGTTGAATCAAACTAATCTATTTATTATTATCTTGATTACGATGTTTAAACCGAAATTTAACATTATTCTTCAAGTTGTTCATATTTATTCAAAGGGTCCGACACGATTTAAACCTCAAGTTGTCCATAGACCTTTTTCATTGAGCGAGAACGCCCGCTCACCGATGGTAGGTTTTCCTAATTTGATCTGACTTACCAACGCGCACTTTTTCCTTAGTTTCGCCAGTACAGTTCATTTCGATGCACGTCACGCCCACTGCACGCGGAGCTCCGCTTAGCTGATGGGTGTTTTGTACTTCGCGAGACTTTGCCCATTAACTCCACGCTTGACTCGGTCCCTCCAGGTGGATTCCAAAGAACTAGGGAATTTCGTATATGTATCTAAGCTGAAAGTCGCCTCAGCGCTGGATTGTTTGACGGCGCCAATGGCCGCCCATATGGGCTGCCAACAACATGCGCTCCTGGGACGATGGCAGCCCATATGGGCTGCCAACTGATAATCGCTTGCCAGGCGCTAGGAATGGACAGATAGGTGGGCAAACCTCGTAATCGAGTGTAAAATGCTTTTAAATTCCTTCACGGGGAAAGTGAATAAATGCTCTCTTTTCGTAACCACTATTTGTCGTTCTGATCGAAATCCTACTGTTATATGTTTAGATAATCTTTACGCATTGGACATTGCAGAAATTATTTTGTGACATTCATGTTTTTGTTCATTTACAAAACAAAATCTGCGGTTATGTGGTGAGGCGGCGGCGCCCACAAAATCGCGTCCGTCCCACGCGACCGAAAAGTGGAAAAGGGGCGTCGTCGTGAATGTGTTTAAACGAGCACACACGGGAAATTTTTCCGAATAGGCGAGTATCTTGGCGTTTACGTCCAATAGTAAGTGGCTAAGGGCTCGAAAGTGAGGAGCTACGAAATCATCGAGGCGGCAGTTAAGAGATGGTCCCCGATTAGAGAGATAATGGAAACGAGGAGAGGCGAGACTGTTGAACGAGGGATCGACAAGTTTTCATGGAATAACTTGTTACCTATCCAACCAAATTTCTAGTTTCGCACATTGTTCAGACTCGCCACAGAGAGACGAGTCCATTGCTGTAAAGATCCTTTCATTTTACCCGCTTTCGAGGGAGTTATGACGGTGCGACGGTTTGCAACGCTACAAAACCGTCGCAACGCGTAGATGTTTCAAAAATTAGAGAAGTGTTTCGAATTGAACCACCCAATGCTCTAGAAAATCCGAGAAAATTTTAGGACTCTCGGAGGGAGAGTTCTTTTATATTCGCCTCATAGCCTTGACCTCATTCTGTCCCACTCGCAAGACAAAACTCATTCTAACCATCACGATGTTAAAAAGGAGATCCAATCTTCCTTCGATCAGCATTCAGCGGAGTTCTCAAGAGAAGCATCGAACAGCTTCTAGTGCATTGGCAATAGGTTGTAGATATTGATGTGTGGATTATGCTGGATGAAGGGAACAAAAAATAATGAAAACATTAAAATCAAAATCTAGCCAGTCGGTTGTAGGACCTATGAGAGGCAGGGATAGCCGAGTGGTTAAGAGGTTAGACTCATGTCTGCACCTCTGAAAACCGCGAGTTCGATCCCTGCCGAGGCTCTAACCATGCCTTGCAAAAATTGCAAAAATGGTTCTAGTACCAGCGTCAGGCCCAGGTTGACAGGCCGGCTGATGAAGACCCCGTCACAACAAATATGTCTAAAGTCGAAAAAGAATCAGTGATAAAGCTAGGACGTCACCCGGAAGTGGCGCGCAGGAATATCAAAGTTCTATGCCTTCAGGAGACGCGATGGAAAGGTGCTAAGGCCAGGGAAATCGGGGAAGGTGTCAAGCTCTACTACAAGCGGAACGGCGTGGCCATAGCGGTAGCGGAGTCGCTCAAGGACTATGTCTCCGCTGTGAACAGGATCAGCGATCGGATCATGGCTGTGAGGATAGACACGAAGGAGGGGTACTGGACCATACACTCCCGAGAATGAGAAGGACGAGTTCTATCTAAGCCTGGACGATGCCACAAGATCGGTTCCGAAGGGGACTACCTTACCGTGAGAAGATGGCTCTGAAAGGTAACGTCGGAGGTAGAGGGATAGGAACGAGGAACGCTGAGGGAGAGAGGGTTCTGGACCTGGCTACAGCCCACGACTTGGCAGTCTGCAGCACGTTCTTCGCGAAAAGGGAATCTCAAAAGGTAACCTACAGCAGTGGAGGGAGACAGACGGAAATCGACCATGTGCTGGTAAGAAGATCAACCCTCAAAACTGTGAAGGATATCAAAGTTCTACCCGGCGAAGATCTGGCTCCCAGCACAGGCCCCTCCTGGCAGACATTGCAATAGACCTCCCCAAGAAGACAAGGGTAAGAACCGAGAGGAGAATCGGCTTAACGCGAGGTGGATTCAGAGGAGACAAGGCAGCGTGGTTCTGGAACGAGGAGGTCCAGCGAGTCGTGAAGCAGAAGAAGGAAGCATACAAGCGCTGGCAGAAGACCCGGAGCCCCGAAGACCTCGCTACCTACAAGAGTTGCAAGAGGCTCGCTAAGGCTGCTGTCGCCAAGGCGAAGAACACGGAGATGGACGCCTTGTACGAGAAGTTGGAAAGCAGAAACGCAGAGAAGTTCGTCTTCAGGCTGGCTAAGGCCCGGCATCGGCTACTCAAGACATCAGGGTGGTGAAGAGCGTGAAGAGCAGCAACGGTGCCATCCTAGGAAGCCAGCCGAAGTCCGGAGGAGGTGGGAAGAGTATTCCAGAGGTCTTCTAAAGGACAAGTACCATCGTCCCCATCTTCAAACAGAAGGGCGACGCGATGGACTGCTCCAACTACC